CCCCCCCCCCCCCCTCCAGCTCAGTGGATCACCACAGCGCCGGCCTGAGACGACACATCCATCTGCACTGGACTGCGGTGGAGAAAATGCTAAGTTGATAGCTCCCTGAGGACACAGAAACCTCATAAATGGTCAAGCCCTGGAGCAAGGAGGGACATGCACCACACAAAGGTTGACTTGGGTATGCGGTTGAAAAAACGCTGGCAACCAAGCCCACCTGGGGAGTGAGGAAGGGAGGCAGGAAGGAATGCTTTCAGGGGAAGACTTGCAAAATAGAAGCTGCAAAGGGCACCTCAGCTGTGTGGGGCACAGCGGGTGGAAAGTCACGGGGTTTGAGTTATGGTGCTAAGGATAGAGCAAAGAGGCCTGGTGGGACCCTGAGAGCGGGGAGGCTCAGGGTGATCTCGGGTTGGAGAGAGGCCACTCCACTGACAGGAGGAGGTGGAGGCTTGGGAAGAGCCTGGGAGGGAGTCCAGGCAGGAGGACCACTCTGCTCTGCAAATTTAAACTCCAACCCCATGGCCACTTAGAATCTGGGAAGATAGTCCGACATCGCCACCAAGCGGCTATTTCTGATTCTGCATCCAAGAGTCATTGTATTTGAGGACAGAGGGTGCTGTTACAGGCTCTAGTCAACAGAGGGCCTGATTGCCAGTTTGGCTTGTAAGTGCTTGTAAGCCACTAAAATAGCACGGATCTGAGCTAAACAGATTCACGTATCTGCTCATGGTTGCAAATATCTAGTCCTTATCCAGAAGACCCAGCGCATACCTTGTTTGGAAGCCACCGCCTCGGATTCTGGGTGGAAATGAATTTGCTTTGATGGGTGTGTTCCTCAGGACATTCTCTTGGAGAAGCTGGAGAAGGTGGCAGGAAGGTGATTGAGTGTGGGCTGACAGATCCCCTATTTGGAGTTCTGGACACTTCTATAAGAAAGGGGTTTGATCATAGGGGATAACAGTTTGCTAAGAAAAGAAAGGAGAAGTGTCAGCATTCCTTAAAATAGCAAAGAAGGGAATTATGTCCACCCAGACTCTTGACAAAGTCATGTCCACTCAACCATTGATCTCCAGCAATCCTTAGTGTGGCCTTCTGCTAAGCAGT